ATGCTTAGAGAGTTAGACTATTGGAATAGTGTAGCAAATCCTAGTTTCTAGCAAAAAGAAGAGCTCTTACTTGTTTGTGTAAAGCTTTGTCTTTGATTCTGATCCAAGGGTACTACTGTCACACAAATAATATCAATTAGATAAGCATCAAAGACAAAGGCTAAAAAAAGGCCTGTGGTGCTAGTGGACTGCAGGAAAAATCTGATTTTATTTGTCCCTTTTCTTCACTATTTCAGCTGGTTTTTTTCCAGTTGAATTCACATTAGTTTGTCTCATTTATCTACTGTACTAAATTGGGTTCATTTGAAAGATGCAGTCTGTATAAAAATGGTGCCTAGTGTTTATTTGGGTTTACTAATGCTGAATTCCGTGGGACTTGAAGGTAAAAATAAAATTGTTGACTCAGCACAGATTAACCAGATGTCTCTTGAGATCACAGCATTTCTCTCTAATCACAAACCCAAATTGATCGTGGTAGATTTTTTTTCCTCTGGTCATGACCATAGTTTTACCAATCTGTGTTTGGAGTGATCTAAGTCAACTGCATGTTTTTCTGCTTGCTCTTGTTATTTTAAATGCAGTTTATTTTTTCCCCTTTGGAATGTCTGGCTATAAACCTACTCTTTTTCAGTCTTCCCCCCACACCCCAATGCCCCGTTTATATTACAAACAATTGATTTAGATGCAGATTCTTTTTAATGTTGAAATCAGATAAAGGGCTGGAAAAGTGGATAAATGAGGTTTGGAAAATCACGGGTTGAAGAGATGAGGAGCCATTGCATTGTGTTCAGTCCATTAAAACAAGAAGAAATAGAAGAGATACTTTGATAAGTGTTCTGCTGGTGTTAACCTTGATGGCTATTATCGGGGGAGATGATGCTATATCTATTTCATTGGCTTAAGCTTTTTTCATGCTGAGAGAAATCAATACTTGGAGTTGTTGGATGACAGAGGCATCACTTCAGAATTGACGGTGGCTGTCAGACATTGTCATTGGTTGACTTTTGTTCGCTGTTGAGGTTTTAAGCTTTCATTTTTCTAAGTCTTATTCAGGAGTCTTTGTAAGATTTCCCTGGGTAGCATTTTTAGTCCAGACTTTAAACCTCAGGTCAGAGGTCAAGTGTAAAGATCTGTGAAAGCAGAGGGCTGAGGAGCTCCTTCATTTACTAAAATATCCTTATTTACAGGGAATTTGCATTAGTAGCAAGACTGTGCGTTTTCTTATGGATGACTTTTCCTCCTAAGTGACACCCTCTGAGACAGGCTGTTCACAAAGCCAGTAGCTTTTAGCTAAATTAGACAAAGGAACTGGGATATGTAAAAGTATTCAGTGATTTCAGAGTTGAAGAGTAAAAGTAAAAAGCTGCAACATTTCTTTTAAAAACCCTACACTGTTAAACTTCTGAATCTCTTGTAGAAAGCATTACATTGTAATTTTGGGGCTGCAGAGGTGCACGATGCAGATAGTACTGTGCAGAGAAAATCTTTTACTTGACATTTTTGTAAAGATCAAAGATAAAATAATTCTGAAAACTAGGTTAATCCTGCTATTCACTGAAATATAGACAGGCAGGATAGACTAACTCACCCTGTCAGTATTTCTGGAATATTTCCTGCATACAGAATGTAGTGTATTTTCATATCTATAACTTGCCTTTTGGATGACCTTTTGGTCTTCCAGAATTCCAGTTCCTTGAAAATGAATATTCAGGTAACCTAGGTGTTCAAATTGCCTGAAGTCTTGTTCAGGCAGAGAACAGGAGAAAGGAAAATACTCTGTTCTGCAATAATGGCAAAGCGAAGGATTTTGTTTTATCCTGGGTGAAAGACTGGAAAACAAGGGTCTTGCCTCTATTCCATAATACACTTCCCTTTGTAAAACTTTAAATAATCACTGAATTTAAGACTTTTTGGAGATAACCTGTGTGGTGTGTATATGAAAATGCATTTTTTCCTCCTTTCAACAATTATTTCCATCCTAAGTGTGACTGCGCTACTTTCGTGATTAAAGTTCTGTTGCACACTTGCCCAAACAGATAACAAAAATTAGGCAGGTCAAGGCAGCAGTGGAAGGAAGGGTTGACAACTCTGTTTAACTGTGTATCTTATTGTAGAACCATAATCTGGCATGACAGGGTGCACATTGTAGGTGCAAGAGATCAAACACTGAAAAAGAAATAAAATACATGTTTGAGATTGCACACAAACAGAAATCAAGCTGGATTTCTATTTTACATATGGAATGATTGGGATTTAGTTTGAAGTATTGACTGTGTACCACTCTGTATCCTGGTGTTGCATCTTTGGAAGTGGTGCATCAGGTGAACCTGGCATCTGGAAACTGGAAAATTTAGGGACTTTTTATGCTTTCAGAATAGTCTAGTGGTGATTGGCTACTTTAGGATGGGTCTTCTGATTTTTTTTGTGGAACTAGTCTTCTTTCACATGTATTCAAAGTATTTGAGAGAGGGAGGTGGAAAAATAACTTTCATTTTGGTATATTTGGCATATATTGAGGGTAGAAACTGAACAACTGGTGAGACGTGTATGATCAAAGAGAAGGTTATTCTTGCAGAACTTCCTTAGGGATAATAAGTATGTGTGCATGTGACAGGTATCTAGCAGAATTTTGCGGCTGGCTTCTTTCAGTTTTTGTTTGTAAAATATATATTGTAAAGAGCGTGGAATGGTCAAGAGTTCTTCCTAGAGTGATGTTACAATTTGTGGGATTGCTGCTTGGGAGAGACTCTCAGTTTTTCTGTATAATTGCAAATTTCTGTTCATATTAAGTGGTGAATTTCCTGAAAATTTGAGTTCTATTTCCAGTTTATAACAGGCTGGTTATGTCTTTATGGAAGTTGTCAGGACAATAAAATAGCATTTTTTTTCTTCGTTTGTCACAGCTACATTTTGAAAATCCTTGTTGGTATTTAATGAAGAATGTGTTCAAAATCACATCATAAAGAGACTTTTTTTAAAGAGGTACAAGTTCATTGTATCTTTTACAAAACATTCTAGTTTTATTTCCATTTTATCATGTTTTAAGGTCAAATGTGACTTTAATGTTCCATAAAGAGACAGAGATTGATAATGGGGAAAGAATAACCCTCTAATGTGATTTATATCTATGGATTTTATGTCAGATATGAAAAGTTGCTGTTAAAATTGTAAAGGAGGATCCATTAAAGAGCACTTCAAAACATTTTACTACTTAGCTTACCTTATTCACTTGTTTTTAGAATTCTTCCATTTCAGACAACTTAAAAATAACAGCTTGTTAAACATTTACAAAGTGCTGAAGAGAAATCAGAATCATCATGGGTGCAAAATAATTCAATGTATTGGAAAAGACAGCTGTGTTCAGAAGGAGCTGGGAAAAATCCTGTTTTGTGTTGGGTATGATTTAGTCATCTTACATTTTTGTGAAGAGGGGGGAAGAGTGCTTCATGTAGGAATAGAAAAGAGAATTTTTAATATCTCATTGAATTGGAAAGTCAGCTGCTTATTCTTCAGTCCTCCTGGATATCTGCTCATCAGGTGAGCATTGCTGTAAAGTGTGGGGAATATGTATTGCTGCAAAGTGTGGGGAAATTCTGAGGAAATATATAAATATACTAAATTTTTTAGAATAGTCCTTTAAAATTTATTCATCTGTTGATACCATTTTGTTGTCTAGCATCTATGAAAATCTACACAAGGCCAAATTTTATTTTGTGGTTTTTTTCACATTCTTTCAATCTTTCTGTCACTTTATGTGACATAGATATTTATATATGCACATATATAAGTAGCATTCATAGCCTGCTAATTTTTTTATTTGCAGCAAGTTTCTAGGGCTTGTACCTATGTAGAGAGAAAGCATTGCTACTATTTGAAAAATAAAGCATATGATATTGTGCTGATATCTAAGAAATAATTATATAATGTCTGGATCAGCTGTGCTTCACAAAGAAAAAGCAATTTGTTTTGGTTGTTGTTAGGCAGACATTTGTGTCCATTCCACTAACTAGATCAAAGAATAATCCAATCATTGACAAAGGCCAAAATGCTTTGTCTTGCTTATGTGATCTGTGGAATTACCAGATGAAAACTGAAATTACAAACAGAGAGTGCTGAAGTGGGGAAAAGCCTTTGTTGTTTCTACCAATATTTGAATTTCTTGTGGGTTTTCATGTACAGCAAAATGGGGTTTTGGTGGTGGGGGTGATAAAAAATTTGATGCCCATTTTTTGAGTTCTTTATTAACAGCAAATTTTCAGAAGGTCAACAAAACCCTAAACTGTGAGACAACGTTGTAAGAAAGAATCTCTCGTAGTTTGGAGTTCAGGTTGTAGGCGTGTCTTACAGTTCTTATTTGCTAGAATTTTCTTTTGAGTAGGTTGGCAAGCAGAAGATATTTATACAACATACTACTGGGAGAGTTACTGACTTCCCCATGCTGCAAATGTCCTCAACTTTGAGGAGCTACCTGGTAGAGGTTGATTTAGTCCTCAGATGCATTTTATTTTCTGTCTGTCTAAAAAAATGTGGATTTTTCTCCTTAATTTCCATGGATATATATTTATATGAACAACAACAAGCAGTTGGCTCCCCAAATCTAGTCAAGGGTCATGGGAGTGGAGTGGTCAGCTAGCTGGCATTCATTATTCTGAAATTTGCCTTTGTTTTTATAAAGCTATTTGCTTTATTATAGGCATAATCACTTCTATTTTAAATGTTTTATTATGCAGTCTGGCCACTAACACGTTGGCTTTTGCTAAATTTTGAGTGTGTGTGGTATGGTTAAAGAATTCATGGCAAACCAAGATCCTGTGTTTGGTTCTCTGAATTGATTTCCTGCGGGCAGCTGCACAGGGCCTCAGTTCTCAAACCTGGAAAATGGGGTTCATACTTCTCTCTCTCTCTCTCTCGTTTTGTATAAGTAATTATGAAGTGCTTCAAAGTTCCTTTGGATGGTGTAATTAAAATGCAGAGTAATAAAGTATTTATTTTCTTGCCAGTCACTGTGTGCCCAGTACTCTGCAGACAAACGGGAAGAAGAAAAAATGTGTCATCATTTGATCATGGCAGCCAAGTACCGGGACCAGGTGACTGCAACACAACTAATACAAAAAATCATCAACATCCTGACTGACAAGCATGGAGCCTGGGGAAGCTCTGCACCAAG